CTGACGCGCCTGGCTGGCAGTTTTACCACCCCACCTCGCACCATGTCTTTCCCTCTCAGGATGCCACGTTTGACGAGTCGGTTCCCTTTTACCGTCTCTTCCCCTACCGCTCTGCCCCTCCCCCGCCCCCGCCGCTCTTCCTTTCTCCCGGTCCCCCTCCGGTAGACCCCCTCCCGCCCCAGGGTCCTGCTCCCTTAGGTGTGTCTCAGGTAGACCCTCTCCTTGTTACTGTGCCTGTTGAGGTAGCTGGCGACTTAGGTGCTGCTCGAGGTGCTGCGTCTGGGGGTGCGGAGCCTGGGGGCACTGAGTCTGTAGGTGCTAGGTCTGGGGGTGCTGAGCCTAGGGGTGCGGAGCCTGGGGGTGCTGAGCCTGAGGGTGTAGAGCCTGGGGGTGCTGAGCCTGAGGTTGTTGAGCCTGGGGGTGCTGAGTCTAAAGGTGCGGAGTCTGGGGGTGCTGAGCCTCAGGGTGCTGCCTCGTCTGGAGGTCCTACTGGTGCTTCGCCGAGACTGTCTCCGCGGTCGGAGCCTCTCTCCCCGCAGCAGCTGCGTGAGTGGCTTGTTCGGCGCGCAAGCCTTCAGAGTGGAGCTGCCGGGGCTGGAGCCACTGGAGACACTGGAGACCCTGGAGCAGGAGGTGCTGGAGTTACTGCTGGAGCTGGTGGTACTGGAGGTGCTGCCGCTGCTGGTCTTGGAGGTGCTCGTACCAGGGGTACTGGAGCTGCCGGGACTGGTGGTGTTGGGGGTGCTGCAGCTGGAGACCCTACGGAGCCTGGAGCTGCTAGGGCTGGATGCACTGGAGCTGGAGGCACTGGCGCTGGTAGCGCTAGAGCTTGAGGAGCTGGGGCTTGAGGCACTGGCGCGGGAGGCGCTGGAGCTGGAGGAGCTGGAGCTGGAGGTAATGGCGCGGGAGGCGCTGGAGCTGGAGGAGCAGGAGCTGTTGACCCTGGAGCTGGAGGTGCTGGCGCTGGGGATGCTGGTGGTACTCGTGCAGGAGGCACTGTGCGGCCACGACCGTACTTCGTTCCCCTGCTTCAGCAGGTTCTTGGTGTCCCGTCTTCTACTAGCCTTACTCCTCCCCTACTGTGTCCACAGCCTTACCAGTCGCAACCGCCGTTACAGCCAGCCTCCCCACTGCCTTCTCCTTCTCCTTACACTGAGCAATCCGGCGGTCTTACAGAGCGTCGTAAGCCTGCGTCTCGTCCTGTCTTGCCTGTTCGCACTGCTCGTCGCGTTCCTCGTTCACGTCCTCCTCCTGTCCCCGGCACGCATGCTATGGTACTTCGTCCTTCCTCTGTTCCACTGCGTGTTCCTCTGCTGCCTCCTCCTGAGTCCTCTCTTCCTGCCGTCCCTGACCCTGAGTCTGACCTTGTGCGTGCTGCCAGTCCCACTGTCTCTCGTCTCATCGTCACTGTTGTCACTGACCCTTCTTTTGAGTCCACTGTTGTGTCTGCCCTCGTTGCTGAGCTGCTTGGCTTTGCTGCTGCCTGTCGTCTAGACTACGCCACTGCTCTTGTTGCTGAGTCTGCGTCTGACTGTCCTCCGTCTGTCGGGGGTGAGTGTGCTCTTGGCACGGACGTCCTTGAGGACAGGCAGGAGGACTTTGAGTGTCTTGCAGCTGCTGTACCTCGTTTCGCTTCCATGCTGCTTGCCCCTGAGGGAGACCCGGATGCACCAGACATCCCGACCCCACGCTCTTACGCAGAGGCGATCACGGGTGTCAGAATGTTATATTTGTCTAGCCTGCAGTGGGGTATTCAATAGCGAGTACAACCCAATTTAGGGTTTGCTATATGTACTCAACTGCCTGCAAGTGAAACCTCTCTTTTTCTGTTTCATTCATTCGTTCCATATTCTAACATGGAATCAGAGCAGGTCGACCCCCCCGGGTCGATCCTGTGCATGGGCCTACCGTTAAGCTTCCGCTGCTGTCCTGCCTACAGCGCGCCTTGGGCGCGCGTCGTTTGTCTGCCTGCGCGCGCGGCATTTTTTCTTCCCGCCGCGCGCCCCGTCGTTTTCTGCCCGTCGCGCCGCCCTGGGGGCAGCGCGGCGCCCTGTTCTGCCCGTCGTGCGCCCCGTGGCGCGCGACGGTGTTCTGCCCGTCGTGCGCCCGTGGCGCGCGACGGTGCCCTGCCCGTCGCGCGCCCCGGGGCGTGCGGTGGTTTCGTCGCCCGTCGCGGCACCTCGGGGGCTCGGGCGCGGCCCTCTCGTCGTGGCGCCATCGGGGGCCCGCGCGGCCCCCCCTTCCATCGCCCGGCGCGGCCCCCTCCTGACGCCCGTCGTGGCGCCCTCGGGGGCCCGCGCGCGGCCCTTTCCCAGTTGCCCTCGTGGCGCCCTCGGGGGCCAGCGCGCGGCCCCCCTCCTGCCGCCCGTCGTGGCGCCCTCGGGGGCCCGCGCGCCCCCCCCCCACCCCAGTCGCCCGTCTTGGCGCCCTCGGGGGCCAGCGCCCCCCCCCCCCCCCCCGTGCTGCCTGAGTTCGGGTCTGGGGGTGGCGAGTATGGGGGTGACTGGTGTGTGCAAACTCCCCTGCTCCTCCTCCTCCTCCTCCGTCTCCCACTGCTGCAGCTGCCGCTGAGGGGGGTGGATGTGTGGGAGCCGAGGGAGTCGTGCTAGGGGGTGTCGTGGGAGTGGAGTTAGGGGTGCAGCAGGGGGTGTGTGAAAGGGGGTCTGCGACAGTGGGGGAGGTTGAAGGGAGGTAGCCGTCGTGTCGCCAGCAGCGCCAGTAGTCCGGAGGCTACAATCTCCGGTAGCCCAGCGAGCCTGCTGCGCCAGTTGCCCGTGGGTTCGTTGCTCCTGCCGCTCACAGTTAGCCGCGGAGCCAGTTACTCCAGTAGTCCGGAGGCTACAATCTCCGGTAGCCACAGTGCGCGCCGCTCCTGTTGCCCGTGTATCTGCAGCTTCACCCGTTGTCTCCTATCTCCACTCCTCTTATAGTCCCTCCTCCTCCTCACTTACCCTCTGTGATAGCCTCTAGCTTTACTTATTACTGTGAACTATAAACTGCTGCTTCTTGTACTTGTGCTCAGAATGTGTGGTGACGTTGTGATCCACCCTGAGCTTGTTTTGCTTTGCTTGTTGTGCTGATTACACCCCACTTTGGCTATGGGGGTGTGTCAGAATGTTATATTTGTCTAGCCTGCAGTGGGGTACTCAATAGCGAGTACAGCCCAATTTAGGGTTTGCCATATGTACTCAACTGCCTGCTAGTGAAACCCCTCTTTTTCTGTTTCATTCATTCGTTCCATATTCTAACAACGGGTCCTTACTCCGCTCAGTGGCAGGCAGCCATGGATGCCGAGATGGCATCCTGGAAGTCCACAGGCACCTACGTCGACGCAGTTCCCCCGTCTCGGGCGAACATAGTCGGTGGCATGTGGATTTTCAGGGTGAAGCGGCCGCCGGGTTCTCTGCCTGCCTTCAAGGCGCGTTATGTTGCTCGAGGTTTCAGTCAGCGACAGGGGGTTGACTACTTCCAGACCTTCTCCCCCACCCCAAAGATGACCACTCTTCGGGTGTTGCTGCACGTCGCTGCTCAGCATGACTACGAGCTGCTCTCTTGACTCCAGTACAGCTTTCTTGCAGGGCAGCCTGCACGAGGAGATCTGGCTGCGCCGCCCACCTGGCTTCACTAGGTCGTTTCCTGTAGGTACCTAGTGGGGCCTCCGGCGGAGACCACACTCTGTATTGTTTCATTTCAGAGTCACATATTCAAGTTATACATGTAATTTTTTTACAACGAGAACTATTTACTCTTTATCGATTACTGTTTTGCTGAGTTATAGTGTGTACGTACGGTGTACAGTACGGTTGCAATGATCAGTTACCAGTTTGGAGCTCGAAATGCACTGTTCATTACCACTCAGGCAATAATGTTGACCAGGTAGGCATGATGGTTACCACCAGGGCGATCACAGGATACGATTGTTACGATTTGTACGCGTGGCTAGCTCCATGAGTGATAGCTAAGATAAATGCCCTAAAGTAAACCACCAGCCTGCTCTTTTTATTTGAACTCAGAATTCCTCAGTCTCGAGATTGGTGGAGCAAGCACCTCCAGTCTCCAGAAGAGCCTTTTTTAGCCTCAGATCAGCCTTTTCAATTTATGTGGATACGGCGTCTTCGAAGCATTGCAGGCTGATCAGTGTTGATTCGGTAGCCTGCCTGTTTTTTCGCCAGAACAATGTCCTCATTCGCCATGCATTCCGGCTCGGTTCGCCCAGCGCTTTCCCTCCAGTCCCCATTTCTTCCCGCTTCCCTTCCGCGAAACCCGGGTTACCCCGCTAGTGTCACATCCGCATCTTCGACTCTCTTAGTCAACACAACGTCTGAACTAACCAAGGCCGTCCAGACTTCGCGTCGTCCTGCTCTTATTCCGCGTGACGCCTACCCCGCGAATTCTTCCCCCTCGCTCTCTAGTCTACGCGTCTCCCTTCCGCGGATCTCCTTTCCTCCACGCAATTCTTCCGCGCGTATCCCCTCCGCCGCGCGCCATGGATCCGCTCGGATCGCCGCGGTCGCGGGAGCGGAGAGCGGACTAGCGGAAGGCGGAGCGGTGGAGCAAGATGAAGCGGTGGAGGGGGAGGGGGAAGCGGAAGTCTTGGCGCAGTGGGGAGCGGTGGGGGACGAGGAAGCGCTCGCGGCGGCCGCAGCTGCGGCGCTGATTGACGGTAGCGGGGACGCCATTGCAGGAATTCCGTTCTTCGAGTGGCTCAGGTTAGTAAACCCCCCATGTTCTCACTCCCTTCCATAACCTTCATGTCCTTTATGCCGTTGCAGAAATGCCGTTGCAGCAGCAGCAGCAGCAGCAGCAGCAGCAGCAGCTACCTTTAGCGTTCGACAGCCCTTCGTTTCCTGAATGCGGATGTCGGATTGGCTGCTGCTCCATGTGTTCACCGCGTCTCCGTTTCCCCGCCTTCCATGCCCCGTTTCCCTTGCACCGTCTCCCATGTCCCCGCATCCATTGCGCGGTTTTCCCGTTCCGCGTTTCCCTTCCGCCGTCCCCCGATGCGCAGCTTGAAGAAGCCTGCGCGGTACCTGGGCAAGGAGCACGGCGCGATCCGCAAGGACTGGGACAGCGCGCGCGTGCGCTTCTGTCTCACGTACCCCGAGGTCTACGAGGTGCGTCGGAGGCGCGAGATAGAGAGGCGAGACAGCATTTTCTGAAGGTGGTGCAGACGGTTTATTGTCTTTGAGACAGCCACGCACATGCACAGAGTAACAGACAAAGTGCACGTGCCTGGGTCACTCGGTCCCCACTGCCTGGGCACTTTGAGTGTTTGAGTGTCCATTCTACTCTCAGCGCCTCTCTTAATGCAATCCTTCTGAGCCATACCGAGCCGAGCCGTGCCGTGCCGTGCCGTGCCGTGCCGTGCCGTGCCGTGCCGTGCCGTGCCATGCCGTGCTGTGCCATGCGATGCCATGCCTTCTCGTATCCATCCATATCCACGCCATACAACTCTTTGCAAACCAAACGTGCCATGTTACATGAAGATACGTGTTGGCTTGTCCTGCCTCTCAACTCTCACCTCTTTCCATCCATCCCATCCTTGCTTTCCTCCCTTCTCTGCTCGCATATGTGGCTGTCTCTGCTCTCACCACCACAGGTGGGGGCAAGCAATCTGGGTCACATCATTCTGTACACGGTAAGGCACTAGATGGGGGCAGAGGGACGAGATGTGTTTGTGGTGAGGGAGAAGGGTGGGATGGGCAGTGGAGAGTGTGGGGGGAGGGAAACGCGACAATGGGGATCATGTAAGAGACTCATAAGAGCAACCGAGCCTACTTCGTGTACTTGCAGAGGGGGAGTCCCTTCCTTCACTCTGTTTATCTCATCTCTCAGTGCTGTCTTTTCCTCTTATGGTCCCACCTCACCCCAAACGTGAACTATTCTCACCCCCGCCCTCCTAGCTGTTGAACCAAGCACAAAGGGCGACCGAGCCTACCTTTTCGACAACTCAAAGTGACTCACTCACTCTCTCTTCCGCCCTCCCATCCCAGGTACTGAACCAAGCGGAGGGCGTGATGTGTGACCGAGCCTACTTTGTGGACGAGGACATGAGCCAGTGCCTCAAGAAGTACAACAAGGTGCACACAATATGGGAATAGGGGATAGCCTTAGGTCTTTTGGGCCGACTCCCTTCCCTCCCTTCTCATCATCCACCCTGACCTTTTCTCGCCTCCCTTCCTCTAGCCTCCTTTTCTTTGCCCTTCCTTCCCCTTCTGTCCACTCCCCTCCCTTCCTCTCCCATCCCTAGCTATCGCCTTCCTTTGTCTCCATTTCCTTCCCCTCGCTTACAACGTATTGTAAAACTCGTCCCTTCTCGTACATCTGATCCATCGAGCATACTCGTTTGCCCCTCCTCCTGTACCTGCTATTAACCCTCCTCCTTGCGCTTGTGCCCGTGCCTGTGCCGTTGCCTATCCCTCCATTGCTATTGCATAATTGCATTCGCGTTCGCATGTGCCATTGCCATTGCCGCCGTTGCCATTGCCATTGCCTTGCAGTCCCTTTTTGCTGTGGAGTCTCAACGTCCGCTCGCCCAATTCGACACGCTCGGATTCAGCCTCAGGTGACTGGCACTACACTTGCTCCTGAGTGATCTCCCAACCTGGATATATGTGATGTAATACAAGCATGATTTCACTTCAATCTCAACTGCTATGGAATGTTTGAACCCTAAGTGGTTGTTCCTCCACCTGTCCTTCCCGCCCACCCACCTTTCTTCTCCGCGTCCTTTTGATTCCCTCCCATGCTTCCCCCTCGTAGGCTCCTCCCTTGCTGCCCACCTCTTGCTCCCTTATGCCCTTTTACACAACCCCAAGCCTGAAACGGGAAACTGGAAACCGGGACCCCTCCCAAAATCCCCATGTCTGCTGTTTCTCCCTGCAGCTACGAGCTAGGCGCGACCAACATTCTGCAGATGCTGCACGAGTCGGGCATCCCCATCTCGTGGCAGGAGCGCATGGATGCAGACACAGCTGCACATGGAGGGGATGCCACAGCGCCCTGGGATGTCTCCACTGGGAGCATGCCGCTTGCCTTTGCAGGTGAGCCCTGAGTGAGGCGCCTCACAAGAGTGTTTCAGATCCGAATTTGTCCTTTCGCAAGGCCACCAGTTTTTAGGGGTGCCTTAGAACTCGTCCGCTTGAACCCGTCCTTTTGATTTGAACTCGTTTCACTGCTCTGCTGTTGGGGATGGCAGCGAGGAGGGAGAAAGAGTCCAGTCCTCCCTGACCTCGCTTCCACCCTCCCATCCCTCCGCCTGCTCTCCTGCCCTCCTTCCCACCCTCCCTCCATCCCTCCCTCCCTCCCTCCCTCCCTCCCTCCCTCCCTCCCTCCCTCCCTCCCTCCCTCCCTCCCTCCCTCCCTCCCTCCCTCCCTCCCTCCCTCCCTCTCTCCCTCCCTCTCTCCCTCTCCCTCTCCCTGCTCTCCTGCCCTCCATCCCTCCCTCCCTCCCTCCCTTTCTCCCTCCCTCCCTCCCTCCCTCCCTCCCTCCCTCCCTCCCTCCCTCCCTCCCTCCCTCCCTCCCTCCCTCCCTCCCTCCCTCCCTCTCTCCTTCCTTCCCCCCATCCCCCTCCCTCCCCTCGCATCTCTCCCCTCCCATCCCATCCCTCCCCCCGGTTCCGCTCCCCTCGCCCCCCTCCCCTGCCCTCGCACCATTCCCCAGGCGGCCCCACGGCCACGTCCAATCCCGAGCCTTTCTCAGACTTCTTTGACTTCTTCGCTATTGGCGATGGCGAGGTGAGAGAGTGAGGGGAGGTGGACGAAAGGAGAAGAGAGGGTGGGAAAGGGCTGGCCGGGGGCGTGCATGAATGGGACTGCGGTTTAAGTGAGGCGTCCTTCACAGGCTGTGTGTCTGTCTTTCTCTGTGTCTGCCTACTTGCCTGCCTCGTTGTCGAAAATTCTCACAAATGATGAAAATGGAGGGAAAAAAAGGGGCGTGTGGGGTGGGGTGGGTGCATGAGTGGGATCGGGGCGTGACACTAAACTATGTTATTGTGAGGCGTCTCACAAATTGAGCCAGACATTACGTTGTGTTGATAGGTCGTCAGTTGCTGTTTTCTCTAATTCTTCCATACCAATCCAATCCAATCCAATCCACTCTTCAATCACTCTTTCTCCTTCACATTCGTTCAGGCACTCAGCACAGCCTTGCTTGTTCCTGTCAGCTATCTAGGAAATGGGAGGTGTTTTCATGCGTGGTGTCTATGATCTATCTGTGATCCAACTTTTGAGACGTCTCAAAAGTCCTGTCAGCTATCTAGGAAACGGGAGGTGTTTTCATGTGTGGTGTCTATGATCTATCTGTGATCCAACTTTTGAGACGTCTCAAAAGTCCTGTCAGCTATCTAGGAAATGGGAGGTGTTTTCATGTGTGGTGTCTATGATCTATCTGTGATCCAACTTTTGAGACGTCTCAAAAGTCCTGTCAGCTGTCTAGGAAATGGGAGGTGTTTTCATGTGTGGTGTCTATGATCTATCTGTGATCCAAGGTCGCTCTTTCTGTACAGGAGAAGGAGCAAGCACTGTCCACCACACTGGACACATGCACTGTTCATCTTATGAGCTGTTCTATCTCTGTCCTCCACGACTCCACTTTCTCATCACCACCACCTTTCTGAGGGGTGTCTGGTGGAGAACGCTCGGAGCCTGAATCCATGCAAGCCGCACCGCTTTCTGCTGCTCCTTCTCAAGTTCCTTCACTCCTCATATTGTCCTAACCTCACCCCCCCAACCCCTCATCACCTCCATCCCCAGGAGTGTCTGGTGGAGATCGCACAGTGCTTGGACGTGTGCAAGCAGCGCCGTTTGTCCCGCTACGACACGCTGGTGGAGCTATCGCGCTCAGTGAAGGGCGTGTATGTGCCCCAGCTCTACGAGACTGTGCCTGGGTAAGAGAGGGGAGAGGAGATGGGGAGAAGTGGAAGGGGGAAAAGAGGCTGGGTAAGGGGAAAGGGGCCTGGGGAAGGGATAACTGTTGCTTTGTTGTGCTTCTGGAGCTGGCACGGTGCAGGGCGTGTATGTGCCCCAGCTCTACGAGACCATGCCTGGGTAAGAGAGGGGAGAGAAGGGGGAAACGGGGAGATTCCAAGGGGGGAAGGGACTGGGGAAGGAAATAGTGCCTGTTCTGCTGGTTTCTGAAGTGTCTTTTGTTAAAGAAGTCTACATCCTGTGATGATGCGCCTTTTTTTCCTTAGTCTTTCTCCCCCATCCCGTCGCCCCCACCCCTTCGCCCCCACCCCTTCGTCCCCATCCCTTCGCCCCCACCCCTTCGCCCCTGTCCCTTTGCTTTGCCCCCATCCCTTCGCTTTGCCCCCATTTCTTCTTCTCTGACCTTTTTTCCCTCTCTTCTTCTTGTTGGCGTTACTTTTGTGGAGTCAGGTGGGGCGCTGCGGTGCTGCCTAAGGTGGAAGGAGTGCCGTCTAAAGTTCTTCGACGAGTGGCCACTGTGAGGCTTGCGCCATGTGCGCGTATGTGTGCGTGCATGAATGCATGTGTGAGTAGTGAATGAGTGCATGTGTGCACGTGTGCGTGTGTGCATTTGTGCATGCGTGCATCTGTGCATGTGTGCATGTGTGCATGTGTGGGTGTGTGTTCGTGTGCTTGTGTGTATGTGTCCAGAGGTCCATGTGTGCATGAGCTGTGTCAATTCTGAAACCTTCATGTCTTGTCACAAACATCTTGCAATTCTTTGCTTCTCATCTTGTATTTCTTTCTTGCACTCATGTGTGGATGTGTGTCGGCTCGTGCTCCCTTCCACACGTGCTTGTCTGTGTGCATATGTGCGGTGTGTGCATGTGCATGTGTCTGGTGTGTGCATGTGCATGTGTCTGGTGTGTGCATGTGCACGTGTGCGGTGTGTGCTTCTGCATATGCATGTGTGTGTGTGTATGTGCATGTCACTGTTTCTATTACCAGCCCAATCCATTGGACCACATTGGCCTTGTGCCACTCACCTCCACAGGTATGAATCATGACACCTCTTCCTCTCACTCTCCTCGTCCTCTCCTTCAATCCTCACTCTCATTCGCGCCGCTCTTGCTAGCATAATCGTTCCATGCAAACAAGCTGCAAGCAAGCGCCCATGGCTTTGTGCTCCACTTACTCAGCCACACCCTCCCATCTGCCCTCTCAGCCTTTTTCTTCCTTTCCCTCTCCTACGCTCTTACCAACCATTCCCCTTAAAGTGCCATTCCCTGCTTCGTTCACAATCCATGCACCCTTTTTCGGCTCCTCACTTCCATACCCCTCACAGAATAACCCCCCCTCTCCCCTCTTCCTCTTCCCCCGTTTATCCCCCTCTCGCCCGTCTCTGCTCTCCTTTCCACCAACCACCAGTGCACGATCGTCTGACGGTGGAGATTCGTCGAGGCTGCACCCGAGGGTGTCGATTCTGCCAGCGTAAGTTTGGCAGCAGGCAAGGCAAGGAATACCACTACCACTGCCTTGCTCATTCCTCGGAACTGAACCTCACACCCGTATGCCGATTGCGGAGACTGTTTTCTTTTGTATCACATGCCCATGCATCCATCTCGTGTGCATGCTTGAGTTGGGTATGTGTGTGCGTGTGTGTGCATGCTTTCATGTTCGTGCGTGGGTGCATGCATGTGTATGTGCATGCATGTGTATGTGCATGCATGTGTATGTGCATGCATGTGTATGTGCATGCATGTGTATGTGCTTGCATGTGTATGTGCATGCATGTGTGCATGCGTGGGTTACACATGTTACACACCCATGTGTGTGCTGGTGTCCAGCTGGCATGCTGACGAGGCCAGCTCGTGACGTGGATCCAGACAAAGTGGTGGAGGCGGTTGAAGCAGGCATGAGGTGAGAGGAGGGGTGAGGTGGGGGAAAGGGAGCGGAGTGGAGGGAGAAGGGGGGATGAGGTGAGGGGCGGGAAGAGATGAGGGGCAGGATGAGGTGAGGGGCGGGCTAGTGGTGGGTACAGATGGCTGATGTGGAAATGGATGCGGAGGGGGGTGAAGGGAGAGTGGGAAGGGGAACGGAGTATAGGGGTGAGGTTATTAGGAGCGAAAGAAGGCCAGGGGCGATGTAAAATGTGCAAGGAGATTCGGAGAACAGAAATCAAGTGACCTGCGCCTCTTACTCTATGCCTAAAATGCTCATCTTTCCTCGCCCACCCTGCACCCTAATATCAGCTCTACCCTTTCCCAGTTCAGTTTCTACGTAATTCCTCAATGCTACCTCGTTACAGTGCCACACAGCACTTTGCCATGCTTCAATACCACGTCTCCCGCTCGTCTCCTCTCCCTTCCTCGTATCCAGGAAGACGGGCTATACAGAGTTCTCCCTCCTCTCCCTCAGTTGCTCTGACTACCTAGCGCTCCCCTCCGTGGGCATCCAGGTTTGTGGGAGATCAGCCGATGAAACCAAGTGACCTCATGTGCATTTTCGATATGATATGAATCGACTTGGTCTAATCTGGTGTGCTCTGGTCAGACTTTATGGCTCACTCACTCTCAACATGGGCGTGCAAGCACCTCTTCCCCAGCTGTGGCCTTAAATGCCCTGAGATCAAGCAACAGCCCATCCCACTCTTCCATTCCACCACTTGGTCACTTACCCTCCTGCCTTGTTCTAATCGAATGCATTCCCCTCCTCCTTTTCACCCCTTTTGTGCACCTGTCTGTCTCTTTGCCTATCTGCCTGTCTGTCTCTGTCCGTCTGCCCGTCTCCCTGTGCTCAGATCAAGAACCGGCTCAAGGAGCAACCCATCTCGCTGTCGCTGCCCAGCCAACGCGTGGACCGATTTAACGATGACATCGCCAACATCATTGGCGGCACACGCAAGGTGCCACACTCGCTGCCTCGCTTGCTCGCTCACTCATGCGCTCACATGCCCGCTTACCGCTCGCTCACCCTTCCCCCCGCGGCGCTCGCTCTCTTGCGCATCTAGAGGGTTGATTGCATTGTGAAGAGATTGGTTCGGATAGATTGTTGCAGGATAGAATCTCGTTGTAGGAATAAGTGATGTGATGTGAACGATGTGAGGTGAAGTCATGTTGTTGATAAAGCTAGTTGCAAGAGAGAGCCATGCCAAGAGATGCAACGCAACAGCTGCCTGCAAGCAACACAGCAGGACTCCACGCGGAGGTGGAGGAACCTCGTTGAGAAGGTGGGACAGCGATGGATGGAGATGGATGGAGAAGGTGGCAGGCCTATGTTGCTGATAGAGCATGGAGAGCATTCTTTCGTTTCTCTGCTTGTGATCTCCATGCGAATGGAGGTCTTGCGACCCGCGTCTCTGCCTGCCTCCCTTCCTCACTGCCTCGCGACCTGTCTGTCTGTCCCTTGATCTTCTGGTCTGCTCTCTGCCTGACTTCCTTCTTCCCTGTCTGCGTGTGTGTCTGCAGGGTTCGATCACCTTTGCACCTGAAGCTGGCACACAGAGGATGAGGGATGTCATCAATAAGGTGTGACTCACTAGTTCTGAAGGAATATATTAGAGAGCGTAGCGATAACGAGAGAGTTTCTGCTATGTGAATGGTGTTGCGCCAGCAACTCGGTAGAGTTTCGGTTGCGTAAGTCTCAAATGACTAAGTGAGAAACCAAGTAGAGATTGGACTTCACTAGGAAAATATATTTTATAAAACACACAAGCAAACACAAACATATATGTAGGCAGGCGAGAGGTTTCACAAATGTTGCGTGGCGCTGCGAGTAACCCAGCCCACACGAAAGTGCTGTTAGGGTTGGCGAACGCGACCTGCCGAATTCCCCATCCAACTCAGCAGCGAAGATACTTCCGTGCACGCCACTCCATCCAGCACACCTAGGGAGTGGCGTGCCTTACAAGGAATGCTTGACGACTCCCGAGACTCGTCATTCCTAGCACCGATTCCACCACTTCTCCAAGTTCATCGCTACCGCTAGCAGTCACGCGCCACCGACACATGATCGTCACGGAAGTCGGTGCCGAGACACTAGGTCATCAGTCGCCGACCTGCCAAGTCAAACACTTCGCGAGGGCCCTTGCTGTCATAGGGCCCTCTAACAAGTTCACCATCCGGGCCTTGTCATGCTATGCCCGTACCATGCCATGCCGTGCCGTGCCGTACCATGCCATGCCATGCCATGCCGTGCCGTGCCGTACCATGCCATGCCATGCCATGCCGTGCCGTGCCATACCATGCCATGCCATGCCGTGCCGTGCCATACCATGCCATGCCATGCCGTGCCATGCTGTGCCGTGCCCTGCCATACCATGCCATGCCATGCCATGCTGAGTGAAGGCAGCATGGGACAACTGAGATGCCTCACGAGTCAAATGTAATGGAACCCGCCTCAACCCACCTCACTCTTCCTTATTCTACCCATCTCCCCCCCAATGCACCCCAGGGATTGACGGACGAGGAGCTGTTGCGGGGAGTGAAGGCGGCGTGGGACAAGGGGTGGCGGCAGGTGAAGCTCTACTTCATGATCGGCCTGCCGGGGGAAACGGACGAGGACGTCCTGGGCATCGCCAAAACCATCAAGGTGTGGCTTTGAGCTGGTTGTTATGAACTCTCAAGAACCTGCTCGTGGGACAAGGGGTGGCGGCAGGTGAAGCTGTACTTCATGATCGGCCTGCCGGGGGAGACAGACGAGGACGTCCTGGGCATCGCCAAGACCATCAAGGTGTGGCTTTGCACATCAAGGTGAATGATTGGTTTGCCTCGGAGGCGCGTCAAATACAAGAGGTGGCGGCAGGTGAAGTGAAGCTCTTCTTCATGATCGTCTTGCCAGGGGAGGGGAGACAGACGAGGACGTTATGGGCATTGTCAAGACCATCAAGGTGACCACTACTGAGGACATCTGAGGACTTTTGAGGACAACAGCGCTTGCTGCTTGCTTTCTACCTGCTTTTTTGTTTGAGGCGCCTCAAAACACGAGGACGCACATCATGGGCAGTCCCAAAACCATCAGGGTTTCTTTTGAACGTCATGCTTGCCCCCCTTCCCGTGATTGAAGAAGTGTTTTGAGACGTCTCAAAACCCTTCCCGGTTCCGCCTCGCCCTCTCATCTCATCCCACCTGCTTGACTTCCTGCTCGTCCATCCACTTGTCCACTCACTCCCCTCCCCGACCTTCCCCACTTCCCCGCTCTCCCGCCTCTCGTCTCCCACCACTTACGTCCCTTTCGCAGTGGCTGCAGCAGAACTGTCGGCGTGGTCGCAACTTCCTGGGCGTGCGCTTGACCATCTCCAACTTCACTCCCAAGCCACACACGCCCTTCCAGTGGTATGGCACAACCAGGCACATGCCACACGAGCCGTCATTCAAGGCGTCCCAAGTCTCGCCACACTCCCTTCCTGGGATATGCACATGCATGGTGCAGGCAGCACATGCCACACGAGCTGCTGTTCGCACTGTATGCTGCATGCGTCAGTTCATGCATGCAAGCATACTTTTATGCATCCAGTTAGGCATATGTGTTCACGAAAGAGCATTTATCGCCAAAAACAATAATGCCACACTAGCACAACCAGGAAGACACATGGTTACTCACTCCTGCCGCCATTCCTGCTGCCCATTCCTGCCGACCACTTCTGCCGCCCACTTCTCCACACGACCCACTCTCCCTTTTTCAAGTCCTGCCTCCCTCCATCCACTCCCCTCGCCCTTACCCTGCCTCTGTTCCTCAACCAACCCATATCTACCCCCCACACACCACTTCCCCCCTCATCCACCGCCCCTCCCTTCTACACCGTCTCCCCCCCCTTCCTCCCACCCCAAATTTTGATGAACACCGTGTGCTGTTCCCCTCCCTGCAGGCACACGGTGTCAACAGCTGAGTGACTTTTGAGTTGACTCAAAAGTCATTTCCTGATGAACCCCATTCCCCTCCCTGCAGGCACACGGTGTCAACAGCAGATTTCACACGCAAGCAGCGCTGCAACGCTTGCTCAGAGACATGTTTTGAGTCGACTCAGAAAACCCCCCTCCCTCCCCCCTCCCCCTCCTTTCCCCTATGCCCCCGTTTCCTCCCTGCAGGCACACGGTGTCAACAGCAGAGTTCACACGCAAGCAGCGCTTGCTCAGAGACGCCTTTGTGCGCATGCCTGGGGTCAAGTGGAACTTTGGAGATGTGCGGGTGAGTGAGCAAGAGCTGAGCCGTTCCCTGCCACGTGTACTTCTTTAGCCGTTTTGAGTGTGCTGCGCTGTTCTATGTGGTGCTGTGCTGTTCTTTGTGGTGCTGTGCTGTTCTGTGTGGTGCTGTGCTGTGTACTGTGCATGTGAGAGGTCAAGTGGAACTTTGGGGACGTGTTGGTGTACTGAGTGATGTATGACATGACATGACATGACATGACATGACATGAATGACATCGCATCACACCTGCACGACTTTTGAGTCAACTCAAAAGTCACCTCGTGATGTATGACATCACATCACATCACATCGCATCACACCTGCACGACTTTTGAGTCAACTCAAAAGTCACCTCGGGATGTATGACATCACATCACATCGCATCACACCTGCACGACTTGCATGCACGGCTCGCTCCTCACAGGCATGCACACATCAGTCAGTTTTTGAGATTTCTGGAAAATTACCTACAACATTGCATGCATGGCTGCAGCATACATAGGCCGGAGCGGGAACCATGCCATACCCCTTTCTTTTAACCATCATCGTCACTCTTCCCCCCTACCCCCCTTCCCCTCCCTTCTCCTCCCCTCCCCTCTCCCGTCGGTTCTCTTCCCCTCCCTTCTCCTCCTCCTGGACCCTGGCAGCTGTCGGTCATGAAGGGTTTCATAAGGTGGGTAAGGAACCATGCCATACCCCATCCTTTACCCATCAACGTCCCTCTTCCCCTCACCTCCCCTCCTCCTGGTGCCTAACAGCTATCGGCCATGGAGGATTTCATAGGGCGGGGCGACCGCAGCATAGGCCGGGTGATCCGGCGTGCGTGGGAGCTGGGGGCCAGCAACGATGCTTGGTAAGGCGGGGCGCAGCGGGGTGGATAGCAGGGTGGGGCAGGGCAGGGCAGAGCAGGGCAGGGCAGGGCAGGGCAGGGCAGTGCAGTGCAGTGCAGTGCAGTGCAGTGCAGTGCAGTGCAGTGCAGGGCAGTGCAGGGCAGTGCAGTGCAGTGCAGTGCAGTGCAGTGCAGTGCAGTGCAGTGCAGTGCAGTGCAGTGCAGTGCAGTGCAGTGCAGTGCAGGGCAGTGCAGTGCAGTGCAGTGCAGTGCAGTGCAGTGCAGTGCAGTGCAGTGCAGTGCAGTGCAGTGCAGTGCAGTGCAGTGCAGTGCAGGGCACGGCAGGGCACGGTGGGGTGGGATGGGGCGGAGCGAGGCGGGGCGGGGCAGGGGGGGCAGGAGGGTGCAACCAGCGTGTGCTGGTGCGTGGGCAACGCACAAGGTGATTGGTTGCTGGTGGTGCATGCTGACTTGTGGACTGGTGACTGCTACAGCTGCTGCTACAGCTGCTACAGCTGCTGCTACAGCTGCTACAGCTGCTACAGCTGCTACAGCTGCTGCTACAGCTGCTGCTTCAGCTGCTACAGCTGCTGCTACAGCTGCTACAGCTGCTACAGCTGCTGCTACAGCTGCTACAGCTGCTACAACTGCTGCTACAGCTTCTACAGCTGCTGCTACAGCTGCTACAGCTGCTGCTACAGCTGCTACAGCTGCTGCTACAGCTGCTACAGCTGCTACAGCTTGCTCCCGCTGAACCAGCTGCTCGCCACAGACGAGTTTGGGCAGGAGTGAGGGACCACAGGCACAACTCATTTACCCCATCGTCCCCAACTTCCCCAGTCCCCTCACCTCCTGTGCTCCCGCTTTTCCCCTCCTCTTCTCCCGTTCGGTACACGTCCCCTTTTCCCTTCATCTACCCCCTTTCCCCTCTTTCCGCCCTCTACAGGTGGGTGAACCTGGATCGCTGCTACGGCTGCTGGTCACAGGCCATAGATGAGTGCGGGCTGGAGTGGAAGTACCGACGGGTGAGTCTGAGGGGAAGAGCAGGCGAGAGGGGGAGAGTTGGAGAGGAGGGGAACAGAGTTTCGGAGTGGGTGCGTGAGAGGTTTGAGAAAGGGAGCTGGGTAGGGGAAGAAGAGACAAGGAAAGAGCTGCTAGGATGATTCAGAAAAATGAAAGCGAGGTTGGTTCAATTTGCAAGGTTTGAGATGTGCTGGTGGAGCGAGAGAAGTGAGGAGCGAATGCGGTACAAGATATGAGAAACGTGTCATCACAATTGCACTGCTCCTTGCGTGTTTGTCCCCCTTCCTGAATCAATACAAACGACCGCTTGAAAAACGTGTGTGTACTTATGTGCCTGTAACGTCATTCCTGTTGCACAATCATGCGCACATGCCCTCACACCCACATACCCACATGCTCTCCCTCCCTGCCGCGTGTGTGTGCAATCTCCCATCCCACATGACAGGTGGTGGACGGCGAGTGGGACGTCATGGAGAAAATCGGCGACGACCGCTTCCGAGGCCAGGGCGGCAAGTCTCGTCTCGATGTGGGGCCTCTTGCCGATGCCAGACTGGACGCCCCCTTGCCCTGGGACATCATCAATGTGAGTGGCTTGCGGGGGGGTGTTCATGTGCTGTCATTTTTTAGGCGCCTAAGAGAGCACCTCAGTCTTTAGGTGACTAAGCGCCTAAGAGAGCACCGAAGGCTGGACGCCCCCCCGTCATAAGACATCATCAATGTGAGTGGGCCAGGGTCACTTGTTGCTGCCATGCCATGCCATGCCATGCCATGCCATGCCATGCCATGCCATACCTTTGGGATGCCATTAGCTTACTGATGTGGGTTGCTTGATTGCATGTTGCATCTGTGAGCTGCTGTCGTGATGATGCTCCCAACGCGCATCTACTCTACTTCCTCCCAAACATCCCTCTCTATCCCTCCATGTCCCTCCCCTGATTCCTCTCCTTTTCTCCCCCTCCCCATCTTTCCCCCGTGCGCCCCGCTGCCTTCCCCGCGCCTCCGCCGCCCTGTCTACCCTCTGCGTCCTCCCCACCACCCACCCAACCCCTTATACCTGCTTTGCGTGCCCTGCGCGGCTCAGACGGGCATAGAGCGCTGGTGGCTCAAGGCGGACCTGCAGAGGGCGTTAGAGGCCACCACTGTGCCCGACTGCTCACACAGGTGCGCGCGGGGCCGGGGATGAGAGTGCGTGTGGGGGTGGGGATGGGCGTGGGGGTGACTTCTGAGGCGCCTCAAAGGGTGTTAGAGGCCACCACCGTGCCCGACTGCTCGCACAGGTGCGCGCGGGCCGGGGGGGGTGTGGGTGGGGATGGGGGTAGGATAGGTTGGGGTAGGATAGGTTGGGGTAGGATAGGTTGGGGTAGGATAGGTTGGGGTGGGGTAGGTTGGGGTAGGATAGGTTGGGGTAGGATAGGTTGGGGTGGGGTAGGTTGGGGTAGGATAGGTTGGGGTAGGATAGGTTGGGGTGGGGTAGGTTGGGGTAGGATAGGTTGGGGTAGGATAGGTTGGGGTGGGGTAGGTTGGGGTAGGATAGGTTGGGGTAGGATAGGTTGGGGTAGGATAGGTTGGGGTAGGATAGGTTGGGGTGGGGTAGGTTGGGGTGGGGTTGACTTCTGAGGCAGTTCAAAAGCCGCTGGATCCCCACGATGTCCAGCTGCTCGCACAAGTGGGCGTGGGGGTGTGGGGGTAAGTTGTGGAGGTGTGGGGTTGTGGAGGTGTGGGGTTGTGGATGTGTGGGGTTGTGGGGGTGTGGGGTTATGGGTGGGTGCAACAGCACTCCTTTTCTGCTTCCACTCATTTTCTGCTTCCACCCCGCCTCTTTCCACTCCGACCTTCTAAATCCCCTACTGTTCAAACCCCAATTGCCTAATACTCTCCCCATTTCCTTTCACCCCCTGCCCCCCTCCCTTTTCTTCTGCTCCCTTTGCCTCCCATGCCTGTACCATTACCCGGAGCAGTGGCGTGTGTTCCAAGTGTGGTGTGTGCGAGGAAGACTTTGGAGAGAACGGTGAGTCGGTCGGGGAATGGAAGGGTTGGGGGGGAAAGGGGTGGGGAGGGGTCTCCTGGGTTGGTTTCCTCCACTCTTGGTAGTCAGCTGCAAGAAGCTTACCCGCTTTCCTCCTGTCTCGGTTGTTTTCTATTCCACCGCAAACCTGAGGGCCTCTGCTTCATCTGCCCTTCTCCTTGACTCGCAAAGCTTATCTGCTTTCTCTTCATCTGCTCTTTCGTCTCTCTTTCCCCGTTTTATGCTGCTCCTTGTTCTTCTCCTCCCCCTTTCCTCACTCCTCCCTTCATCCCCGCCTCCCTTCCCCGTCATCCTCATCACGTCCCCTCCCCTCCTCTCCCACTCTCCCTATGAATCCCATCGACCTTTCACTTCATCACCCGCCTCTCTCTTACTGCCTCCCGCCGCTTCTCCTCATCTGCCCCTTCCCCCATCTGCCATTTTCCCCAACCACCAGTGGTGGCTGCCATTCCCCCCGTGCCAGAGTACGATGGAGACTTCAAGCCCAACCGCAAGAGAGTGCAGGTACCTGTTCACACATTCCACTCAATGCCTTCCAGTGACGTTTGAATCGACTAATAATAAGTCACCGCCTTCGAGTTGACTCACCAAAGCTCTTGCTCGTCAGTCTAGGTAGCAGTGTCTGAGGGTGCACCATGCGAACCTGGTTGCCCTGCCATGACGCTGCTAGGCCACCTCGATACATTGTTGAGGCACCTCACAAGCGCACAAGCGCACAAGCTCACAAGCTCACCCGCCTCTCTCTCCCCCTGCTCCCTCACCTCCCTCCATGGCAGCGTCTGCGGGTGTGCTTTGCCAAGATGGGCGCCATGACGCTGCTGGGTCACCTGGACACCGTCTCACTCCTCGATAGGGCTCTTCGACGTGCCGACCTCCCTGTCTGCTACGACAACGGGTGCGTTGCTGTTGCTGCTGCTGCTGCCGCTGCCTTTCACCGTGGAATATGATATAGCTTCTCTCGGCCGCTGCCGCTGCTGCTGCCGCTGCTGCCGCCGCTGCCGCTGCTGCTTGATTGTGTGTGCATGCCTAGTGAAATCGCCGTGCATGTCATCTCAACCCACATCACAGCATCCCGTTGTTGCCAAGCTTTGTTTCTATTGTCCATTCATGACCAAAATCACCAGTTTTTTTTGTACTGCCAATCCCACTCCACCTATTCCCACTTCTATTTCCACTATTGTGGCGCTGAAGCCTCAGAATTATTTGATCAAACAAGCACACCACACCCACCTCAACCGGCACTACCACATCCACTCCATTTCCCCTCTTTTTCCCCTCTCTCCCCCTGAACCTGTCCGTTCCTCCCTCCCTCTGTCCAGCTTCCACTCCCTCCCGCGCATCTCCTGTGCTGCGCCTCTGCCTCTGGGCCACAGCAGCTCCTGTGAGGTGCGCTCTTCCTTCCCCCCTTTAGCCACCTCCTGGGTTGCAAGCAAGCACGTGCCTCCGTGTCTAGAAGCACATGCGGTAATGATCATGGTCTGTCTCATCGCCTCTCCTTCGTTCAAGCTCTCCCACTTCAGTGCCGTTTTTCTTTTTGTAGGTTGATTCCGAAAATTCTCCGAATGAGCATACAAAAAATAGCCGGTTCAAATCTCTGAAGCTTGTTCCAAACATCTCGTTTCGTACTGTGCTTCGTATTAGCAACGTCCTTGTACCCCTCGCTTGCCACGTGCCCCTCCCATCCGTCCCTGCCCTGTCATGCCATGGCATCACCCCCTGCCAGCTCGTGGACTTAGAGTTCACTCAGAGAAGCTATCCGTGGCCGATGTCAAGAAGAAGCTGCAGGAGCAGGAACAGGTCTATTGCGCCCCTCCCGTGCCCTCCCCACTCATATGCCCCTCACACGCGCCCCTCCCATGCGTTACTGCCCTGCCGTGCCATGGCATCTCCCTCCACAGCTCGTGGACTTAGAGTTCACTCAGAAGCTATCTGTGGCCGATGTCAAGAGGAAGCTGCAGGAGCAGGTGTGTGCTGCCGTACCGTTCACGCCTCCCATGCCATGCACCCCTTTCATGCCATGGCCTCACCCTTCGCAGCCAGCTGGTGGAGTTAGAGTTCACTCAAAAGCTATCTGTGGCCGATGTCAAGAAGAAGCTGCCAGTGCCATGCTGTGCCATGCCATGCTGTGCCATACCATGCATGCCTGCCGCCATGTCATGCCGTGCCGCCGTGCCGTGCCATAACGTGCCGTGCCATGCCATGCCACACCAATGCACCATGCCATGCCACACCGATACACCATGCCATGCCACACCGATACACCATGCCATGCCACACCGATACACCATGCCATGCCGCACTGATACACCATGCCATGTCACACCGATACACCATGCCATGCCACACCGATACACCATGCCATGCCGCACTGATACACCATGCCATGTCACACCGATACACCATGCCATGCCACACCGATACACCATGCCATGCCGCACTGATACACCATGCCATGCTGCACCAGTACACCATGCCATGCAAATTGTTATTCCTTTCTATTTCCGTCCGTTCTTCTCCCTTGACAATCTTTTGCTAGAAGCAGTAACCTCACACTTGCATTTCTGTCTCCTTTCCTTCACTCTCCCCCTTCTTCCCTGTCTGAAGCCCATCCCACCCTTCACTCACCTTGTCCCTCTTGCCTCTCTCAAACTCGTTTCACCCCTCGCTGTTGGCTTTTGACTCCCCTTAACATTCCGATTTCTTGTCTTCATTTTGGTACTTGTATCCGGTTGCCACTCCTCAGCCCTCACCCCTCAACTACTTCTGGTCCCATTCCAAATTTGAGACGACTCAAAATATCCTCCCAATTTTACGTCTTGTTTGCCTCTCCTGCACTCTTCTTGGTCCTTGTCACATCTTCAAGCTGCCCGACGAGGTGCCCGTGCTGGACGCCTGGGAGGAACCGATTTTCCGGGCAGACAAGAAGAACACAGACACACTCACAAAGGTGAGTGGCAGGAATCATCAGATCTTTTGCGGGTCAGCTGCTGTGAGTGAGCTATACTGAATCAAGTGGATGTTGAGAATCTCCGAACTGGTGAAGCATTAATTGGCACCAAATGACCGCTCTCCGGCACTCCCATTCTCCCTCTGTCTCTGCTCCTCCCACACCTCCATCTCTCTCCCTGTCCCCAGCAACTCCATGCAATCGAGTACCTGCTGCTGCTCCGAGTGGAGTGTGATGCACAGACGAGCAACAAAGCTCATGCGACTTTTGAGACGTCTCAAAAGTCTTCCCTCTGTCTCCTCTCCTCCCACATCTCCATCTCTCCCCCATCTCCAGCAACTCCATGCAATCGAGTACCTGCTGCTGCTCCGAGTGGAGTGTGATGCACAGGGAGCAGAGGGAGCAGAGGTAGCAGACAGGAGCCTACAGGAGCAAGTGGAGGAGTGGGTACAGGGAGTGCTCGCCCTGCCATCCTTCACTGTCACTCTGCAGAAGAAGCAAGGCGCAAAACCCAAGGCAAGTTACTTCTCGCTCGAGCTGTGTGCATGCTGTGTGCGCTTCACTGTCCTAAAACGACATGAGTTGATGGAAGTAAGGCCTCCGCAGCCCACCTGTCCATTACTGACATCACCTCTCGCTTGAGCTGTGTGCATGCTCTGTACATGTTCCAGTTGAGCAGTTGTTGCTCGTTGTTGCTGGTGCTTCTCAGAGAAATGGACAACACCTTACCTTGCACACCCGTTTCCTGTCGTCCAGGCTCTTCGGTTGGCCGCTCGCTGCCTATATCATATCTCCAGGCTCCAGCGATATGCTGCTCTGTCTGATCACATGGACTACAGTCTACTAGCACATTTTTCGAGTCGACTCGAAAATTGAGTAATAGCACATGGAGACGCCCCTCTACTCTTTCTCATCCTTACGTCTCCCCCCCCTTCCTGTCAACCTCCATCCTCTCTCCCCCCCACCCTTCGACTAGTCTCCCTACCTCAGGAGACGGATCTACGTGCACGGCTGCATGAGCTGCGAGCACTTCTGATTTGTGAAAGTTCTTGAAAATTCCTCAATCCCTCATTTGACTCCTTACCTCAGGAGACGGATCTACGTGCACGGCTTCACGAGCTGCGGGCTCTCCCCCAAGGCACCGCCCTTCTGCAGGCTCTGCTAATTTCTGAATTTTCTCAAAGATCCCTCCTTAGTCGCCCTACCTCAGGAGACGGATCTACGTGCGCGGCTTCATGAGCTGCGGGCTCTCCCCCAAGGCAGCGCGCTTCCATCCGCCATGCGCCTCAGCTGCAACGACGCGGCTGCCTTTGCTGCTGGCAGCAGCAGCAGTGTGGTGGTGTCGTATGTGGGCCAGCACACCACAGACGGCGGTACCCTGAGGCCAGAGGGAGTCCTCACCATGCTCTCGGAGGTAATTGCCCTACGAGAAATCCCTACCTCTCCCACGCTCATCTCCTGTCCCCTCCCCATCCGTGTGGTGAAAAAAATCTGACTTATTCAAGGATGCACAATGCTGTTCGTGGCATTCCTCTTCTTCTTCTGCTCCTGCTCTTTCTCCACTTGCCCCGTCTATTGTCTGCCTCCTTGCCTGCTGGCTTCTGAAAGCATCATTTTTGTGTGCATTTGTCTGTTCATACTTGAAATTCCTCGATGACCCCATACACACATGTGCCCGTTCTTGTGTGGCGATACATCTCTGCTTGTACGCCTGTGCTTGCATGTGCGTGCCCCACAGGTGTCTGGTCGTACCATCCATCTCGTACACGCACACAGGGCAAAGCTGCACCTCTCACCGCCCTCTCAGCCCAAGGTGAGCGATTAGTTCTTTAACCTTTCAGAATGCTTCACATTCAACACCACTCTTTCAGCCCCCCAAGGTGAGATTGTGTTTCATTCAAAAAGTGAAAGAGCGCTTCACCTCTCAGCCTCAGGTGAATGGCACTCACTCCCATGCCACTCACTCCCATACCACTCTGAAGCCAACGCCCATCCGGGTACGGCTGTCCCCGAAATGGGGCACGCGCTTCTGGTGATCGATGGGGGTTTTAGCAACTAAATGCACAGCCGGTATAATGCTGCTTACCGAAGCGCCTTCTCCCTACGGGGGGTTGGTTTCCTCCGGGGATCTCCTTAAAGCCCCCAAAAAAAAAAAAAAAAAAAAACCAATCGCAGTCAACTCTAAACCCCTTCTCCCCGCCCCCCCCACCCTCTCCCGCATGCGTCTGGCCTCTCCATCTCTTTTCTACAGATTGACTTTGCCAAGCTGAGGTCCATTGGCAACGACGAGGCGTTCCGGTCGCTGTACCGCCGCTTTGACGGCACCAGCCGATTGAACGACACACAGCCACTCTCCACCAAAGATGCCATTGAGAGTGCTCGCCAGGCTGCTCTTGCTAAGGCTCTGTGACTGACCCAGCTGTACCAGCAACATCAGCAGCTGTAGCTGCATTTGTGGTTTTTAACTGCATATACGGTGATAATGCAATTTGGACAACCATACGTCCTGCCCTGAAAAAAAGTAAAACGAATGTGCTTTTGCACAAGAATGATTATGGCCGAGTGGAAACGTCAAATTTAGTTATTGCATAATTTCTGATAAGATTTCGAGCGAGTTTTTGTGATGTTCCTTGAATACCGAAAATGTTCATAACGAGGATAAAAATCCTAATTTTGGCTGACTCCCCGTCTGCCACGTCATCTAGTAGGATACGTAACGCTCCACACGTCAATACCGAAGCCATGTAATGTGTACGCGCCATTGTCGGACCCGTTAATATTGTTCGACACCAGCGTTCTGACCTTCACGCCTCCCTGTGTTCTGTTGACCTGCCCTGTCGCGACCGCATTTCGACGCCGTATCTTGCGACATTCCCTCGCACGCCGCCATTTTCCACTCGCACGCCGCCATTTTCCACCGCTAGTCCGCCATTCCCCCTCCCCCCCCCCCCCCCCCCCAAGTCCGCTAGTCCGCCATTTCCCCCTGCTAGTCTGCGATCTCCCCCCGCTAGTCTACCTTAACCCCAGCTAGTCCGTCCTCATGCCGCCCGGCGCAGGTCGCGCGCTTCGCCAGGTCATGAAGGACCTGCGCTCGCCCAATCGCAGCCCCGCGCGGCGGCGCGCCGAACCGCCTGAGTACGACGACGAATGGGAGGACGATGAGGTGGCGGGGCCGGCAGGGACGGGCGGAATCGCCGCTCCCGGGGTGTCCACCCGCCCTCCCGCGCAGCAGCAGCAACAGCGGGGGGGGGGGAACGGCGCGTACTCGGGCGCGGGGGGGAACCCGCGCGCGTTCCCGCACGCGGTGAAGGTGGCGTGCTGGAACAAGGCGGAGACGGTTCCCGGGCGCGATCCGGACCGGTGGCGCAGAGACGCCGCGGGAAACGTGGTGTTTCGGCAGCTGGTGGCGTGTAAGGGGTGCCTCTGCTACGACTATGACCACGTGGTTCCGTATTCTAAGGTGCGTTTTGAGGCCTCTCGAAACTCCCCAAGTCAAATCTGCAGCTGGTGGCGTGTAAGGGGTGTCTCTGCTACAGCTACAATCATGCCGTTCCGTACTCTAAGGTGGGTGGGGTGGGGCAGCTTTTCGAGTCGACTTGGCAGCTCAGCTGGTGCCCTGTAAGGGGTGTCTGCGCTACAATATGATCATGTCGTTCCGTACTCTAAGGTGTGTGGGGGCGGACTCGCGGGTGGGCGGAGGGGCGGACGGAGAGGCGGAGTGGGGGAGAGGCGGAGGGACGAAGCCTTTCCCCCAACCATATCCCCTTCCCCTCGCCCCGTTCGCTCCCTCCTTTTCCCTCCCGTCTTCCCCCTTGCACGTTCTTTCTTGGTACATTCTCCTCCTCTTACTTGGTCCTCCCTTCTCTCCCCCTTCCCGTTAGTATCCCCGGCTATCCCTGAAAACCCTTTTAAACCCCCTGCTTCCTCAATCCCCTTCTTCCCACACCTCCTTTCTTGTCTCAGGGTGGCAGGAGCACGTTGGACAACTGTCAGGTGCTGCAGGCAAGTGAATGGCCCCTCGTGCTCTTGCGAATGTAATGTGGCCTGTCTTTCGTTTTTGAGACGCCCCAAAGATAGTGAGGTGCTGCAGGCAAGGCAAGTGACTGCCTTTGTGCTTTCAGGAATGTGCGCACGCTATGTCATGAAATGACATGCAATCGGATTTTGGTGGCATGCATGCACTGCACAATGTTGATCAAATCAGCAGATATGCATGCCCACCAAAACCCGCGCCCCACTCTTCTCAACTCCACCTGTTTGCAAGCCTGTTCCATCCATCCACTACTCATACGCTGGGCATACTAGTCACCACATGACAAGCTAGGGCCGTGCAACATTAGCAAGTTAAAACAGTGCTGACCAAATTCATGCCAGCGCATAATGACTCACTCCTCCCCACCCATGAGCACCGCACACCACCAGACGGCAGTGAACCGAGCCAAGGGGGCACGCACGGACATGACACACACAGAGCTCATGCAGCGCAGCACCTACTGCAGCCTCTCCAGTAAGTCGTAGGCACAGAGTATTTCGGTACTTGGGTGGGTGGGGGTTCATAAGTCGCGGCACCTTCCTCCCTCCACTCACAAATGTTTCCATTTATATTCTTGTTGCATGCAAAGAGCGTTCTACTGACTTGTTCTGGTAAGAACGATTTGTGCATGTTCCAACTATGGACCCACTTGCAGGCTCCACGAATCTTCATTGTTGTTACCACCTCAGCACAGCAACTCTCGTGCCGGCCTTTGTTCCTTCCTCCCTCCCTCCCTCCCTACCTCCCTCAAACCCACTTTCCCACTCAACTCATATTTCCAGAGCGTGATTTTGATGCAGTGGAAATAGGTGCATACGGCCAGGTCATGAGACATGGGGGGGAGTCCTCCTCCGGTTGCGCTCTTCAATAGTCAACCACCCCATCACATGTGTGCTGCTGCTCCACTCCACTGCCTTGACGCCTATTTGACTATTTTGTCCCCTGTCCAGGGTTTTTTTTTTTTTTACTAAGATTTTCAGCGTTGTTTTTTTGAGAACTCTGAAAATCAGGGTTGATCATGAGCGTTACTCTGATTTGTCAGAGAAAACTTAACTTCTGGAAAAAAAACTCGGGACAGTCAGTATACCTACCGTATTTTTCCAACTCTGAGTGTCCTCTCAAGTATTGAACCTGTCAAACATATACAAATATATGTATATATGTTATAGTTTGGGTAGGCTTAGTGGGGTACTCACTGTGGGGTACAACCCCTTAGGTTTCTCCTTTGTACCAATCCTCTCGACAGTCAACTTCACTCATGCATATACTCTAAGATGGTATCTAGAGCCTAGAGGCCTTTAGGACCTAAGATTAGGGCCCACCTGTTACCACATTACCTCATTTGCCTGCCTGCCTTGCCTGCTGCCCGCGCGCGCCTCGGCTGCACGCGCGCGGCCCAATTTTTTTTTTCCCGCGCGCGTCACTTAAGCAGCCCCCGCGCGGCCCGTTTAGGCTCGTTTAGGCCCAGTTTCGGCCCCGCGCGCCACGACAGCCGCCCGCGCAGCCTGCCGCCGGCCCGTGCGCCGCGTAAGCCGCCCGCGCGCAGCCCGCTTAGGCCCTGCGCGCCGCATCTGCCGCCCGCGCAGCCTGCTGCCGGCCCGCGCGCCGCTTAAGCCGCCCGCGCAGCCTGCTGCCGGCCCCTTGCGTCGCCTCCTCCGGTGTGTAGCCCGCCCCTGCTCTGCGCGCCGCCTTAGGAGCCAGCGCACGGCCTTCTGCTGCACCGTGCCCCGCCTTAGGAGCCCGTGTGCGGCCCGTTGCTGCACCACGCGCCGCTTTAGAGGCCCACGCGCGGCCCACTGCTGCCCTCCGTGCTGCCTTAGGAGTCCGTGCACCGCCATAGCAGTCCGTAAGCCGCCACTGCAGCCTTGCACGCAGTCTCTCCTTGCTTGCCTTTTGCCTTGCCGCCTGCGCACTCGACTTGCCTACACTGCACGCATGGCGACTCTCAACGTGCTCGCTTTCGATCCTGACGGTCGCCCAGTAGAGTTTTCCACCTGGCTTGACGACCTGCAACTATTCCTCATGACTGATGCCAAGGACGGTGTTTCCCTATTTGATTACGTGTCGGGCACTGCCGTTGCTCCTGCTGCCACTGAACCTGCTCTAGACCGCTCCCAGTGGCAGACCCGCGATGCTGCTGCGCGCCTATCTACTCGCAACCATCTATCACAGAGCGCGCACATTTTAGCCAGCACAAGACTGCCAAGGCACTGTACGACGCTGTAGTTGCCCGCTACTCTTCCCCGGCCACTGCAGCCCTCGGTCGACTTATGCTACCCTACCTGTTCCCCGACCTGTCCTCGTTTACCACCGCTGAGGACCTCATCTCTCACCTACGCGCTAGTGACACTCGCCTTCGTGCCGCCCTTCCAGCCGAGTTCCTCACAGAGAACCGCCCCCCGATGTACTTTACTCTCTACTTCCTCATCACCCGCCTCCCTGACACTCTTCGCTCAGTCAGGGACCACTTCCTCGCCCTTGACCCCCATTCTCTCACTGTCGACGACCTCGAGAAGCACCTCCTCGCAGCAGAGAAGAACATCCTCGCTGTAGGTGCTGCTCGCGGTACTCCTCGCTCTCCCCTCTTTGAGGGGTGCTCCCTCTCCCCTCTTAACCCCTCCTACGCCTCCGCAGCTGCTGCTCTCGACTACCTTGGTGCTGAGGAGGTCGGGGCTGCTTCCGCTCCTAGTGGGAAGCGCCGCAGCGGCAGGGGCGGCAAGGGTGGCAGGGGAGGTGGGGGTGGCGGTGGGGGTGGCGGTGGAGGGGGCGGTGGTGCAGGCGGCGGGGGAGGTGGAGGTGGTGGGGGTGGTCGTGGGGGTGGAGGTGGTGGAGGTGGTTTTGGGTGCAGCGGAGGCACTGGGAGCAGTGGAGGTGGCAGCGGCGGTGGTGGGGGAGGAGGGAGCGGTAGTGGCAGTGGTGGTCAGGGGCAGCAGCAACAGCAGCCGCAGCAGCAGCAGCAGCAGCAGCGTCCGCGCCAGACCCCCACTTCCCAGCAGTTTCTTGACTGGTATGCCGGGTGTGGGGCTTCTGGGGGTCCTGGTCGCTGCCCCTATCTCATTCGCACAGGTCCCCGCGCTAGTCGCCAGTGCACAGGGTTTCACACTGAGCAGCGCTGCTTCGCTCGGCTTAGCGACGCCTAGCGCGTCAAGTTTCCTGATGCTCCTGAGTTCCCCAACTGGGCAGAGCTGCTTAGGCGTGATGTACCTATCTTTGATCTTGATTATGAGGCTATTCTTGCTGCCATGTATGCATTGACTGTTAGTGCTGAGGGTGACTGCTACTTGTGTGTGCTGCCGGATCCTGGTATAGCCCCTGCAGCACTAGGTGCTTGTGAGTCTGCTCCCCCTGGTACTGCGCCTGCACAGGCCTTGCACACCTTTACACTTGACTCTGGTGCTTCGCGCTGCTTCTTTCGCGACAGTACCACAGTCACTCCCCTCCCTGCACCTGTTCCTGTCTCACTGGCTGACCCCTCTGGGGGCCCGGTGCTTGCACGGTCTTCCACTGTGCTTCCGTGTCCGGCGGTCCCGTCTCGTGAGCTGTCTGGTCTCCACCTCCCCTCGTTCTCTACGAACTTGGTGAGCAACGCTGTCCTCCAGGATGCGGGTGTTGACACCTTCACCCCTGGCCGGCAGCGTGTGGCGATCTGCACGTGCTCCCAGACCGGCCGCCACCTGGCCACGTTCACCCGTGCGCCAGGGTCCAGTCTGTACACCCTCACCACTGCGTCGCGCTCCACCCCTTTGTCTCCCTAGCTGCACGCGTCTGCTCAGGTAGCTACCCAGTGTGAGTGTCGCCGGCTGTCTCACGACACTCTCCTGTGGCACCACCGCCTTGGTCACCCCTCTCTGCCTCACCTTCGTAGCATGCACTCTCGCTTTCTGGTCTCTGGTCTTCCCAGGTCTCTGCCTGCCCTCCCTCCCTCGCCTGTGCCGCCCTGCATTCCTTGCGTCGAGGGGCGGCAGCGCGCTGCTCCTCACTCCTCCTCGTTCCCTCCCACAGAGGCTCCACTGCAGACTCTCCACCTGGACGTGTGGGCCCCAGCCCGTGTCCGTGGACAGGGCCATGAGCGGTACTTCCTGCTGGTTGTCGAGGACTACACGCGCTACACCATGGTCTTCCCCTTGCAGCGCAAGGGGGATGTCCCTGATGTTTTGATCCCCTGGATCCGCGCTACTCGTCTCCAGCTCCGCGAGCGGTTCCAGCCGGACTTTCCTGTCCTGCGTCTGCACTCTGACAGAGGTGGTGAGTTCTCCTCAGACCTCTTGGCAGCCTTCTGTGCGGAGCACGGCATCCGCCAGACTTTCACACTTTCGGCCTCTCCGCAGCAAAATGGGGTTGCTGAGCGCCGCATTGGCTTAGTCATGGAGGTCGCTCGTACCTCCATGATCCATGCGGCTGCCCCCCATTTTCTGTGGCCGTTTGCGGTCCGGTACGTCGCGCATCAGCTCAACCTTTGGCCCCGTGTCTCCTTGCCGGAGACCTCGCCTACGCTGCTGTGGACGGGAAAGGTTGGCGATGCGTCGCGTTTCCGGGTCTGGGGTGCTCGTGCCTTTGTCCGCGATACCACCGCGGACAAGCTCTCCCCTCGCGCCATTCCTTGCGTCTTCCTTGGCTTTGTCCCTAACGCGCCTGGCTGGCAGTTTTACGACCCCGCCTCGCGCCGTGTCTTTGCGTCCCAAGACGTCACCTTTGACGAGTCGGTCCCCTTTTACCGCCTCTTCCCCTACCGCACTGCTCCTCGCCCTCTCCCGCCGCTCTTTCTCGCCCCAAGTCCTCCCCAGGTATACCCCCTCCCCGCGCCAGGTCCTGCTCCTTCAGGTGTTTCTCAGGTAGACCCTCCCGTCCCTGCACCTGTTGAGGTCACTGGTGACTCCGGTCATGCTGGCGGTGGTGCTGTCACTGGGGGTGCGGAGCTTGGGGGTGCGCAGCGTGGGGGTGCTGAGTCTGGGGGCGCTGAGCGTGAGGGGCCTGCGGGTACGGAGCCTGGAGGTGCTGAGCCTACGCGTGAGGTGCCTGGAGGTCCTGTGTCTGGGGGTGCTGCGTCTGGAGGTCCTGCGTCTGGGGGTACTGCGTCTGGGGGTGCTGAGCCTGCGTGTGCGGAGCCTGGGGGTGCTGAGTTTGGGGGTGAGTCGCCTGAGGGTTCTGAGACTGCTGTTACGCGGTCTCCTTGGAGTAGCCGTCTTCGTCAGCGTGTGCCTCTCACCTCCCAGCAGCTGCACGACTGGTACGGTCGCCGTCTACGTCGCGCTTCTGCACCTCAGGACTCTACTACTGGGGGTTCTTTTGCTGGCGTCACTGGGGCAGGGGGTGGTGCTGGTCCTTTGCCTGCAGGAGGTGCTAGTGTAGCTGGTCCCGGAGGTGCTCGTACTCGGGGTACTGGAGCTGCTGGGGCTGGCGGTGTTGTGTCTGACTGTACTGGCGCTGCTGGAGGTGCTGGAGCTACTGAGGGTACTGGAGCTGCTGAGGGTACT